AAAGAAATGGCATAAAGAAGGAATCAACATAATCAGAAGTAATAAGTATAAAATCAATCACAAAATGATTCCCCACCAGCAATAACAATAACAATGGTAATTCTTGTAAGCTCACTAGGATAATTATAAGCTTGATAGGAATGGTTTTACTCATTATTACTTTGCGGTTTCTCAGTCCAGTTCAAAGTCGGAGAGACCAACATTCACCAATATCAGCCGTTTTAATATTTTCTAAAGGGTACTGACGAGAGAGTAAATATTTTCAGATACTTTTCACTCTTTTCAAACTTCTATTATTCTGAAATTAATTCTTTGTTTTTCTTTCTTTGTTTGATTTCATTCTTTCTTCATGATTGAGTTTTTTTCTTTTTTTCTTCGTCAGATTTCTTTTCTCTTTATTTGATTTTTATTAAATGTTTGATTTGTTTTTACATTATCTTTATTTTTGCTTTTTCATTATAAAGGTACGCGGTCGATACATTCTACGATCGCTAAAGTAAGCAACGAAAATAGGAAATAAAAAATATCCTCCAATAAAAATTATTTCTTAGTTTAAAGATCGTAGAATGAATCGATCGGGGATAAAAACAACAACAATAAAGATTAAAAGAAATCCATAGAAACATTGAAATATTACTCTCTTGTTTTGCCATAATTTTCTTTCTTTCTTTCTTTCTTTCTTCCTTTCTTAGGTTTACTTTTTATAAAAGGTTTTCTTTCTTTCTTTTTTGATTGTTAGGTTTACTTTTTCAAAAGATTTTTTATTACTCATGCGCACACACACACACACACACATATATTTATTAATAAACAAAAATACATTTTATTTACTGCGTGTTTTATATATATATATATATATATATATATATATATATATATATATATATATATATATATATATATATATATATTAAAATTAATTGATTTTATGGTTTTCCGCTACATAGTTCTAACCATGTTTCAAAAATGGAAGGTCCAAATTTAATTTTGTAATTAAATGAAAGACATTACTTCCATTTCATCCTCAAGCAATTTTGGAGTAATTTATAAAATTACTGGGTTTTAAAGTCAGCAAAAATCATAATTTACGTTTTCAAGGAAACGGAGAAATTCATTTCAACCATTTCAATCTTACTGTTCTTTCTTTATATATATATATATATATATATATATATATATATATATATATATATATATATATATATATATATATATACGCATCGACAATCGCAGTTTAAGTTTGAACTCATATTTGCCCAACACAATCTTAGTAACTCTTAATATCAAAGCCTGAATTGTGTCTGAGATAATAAAGTACTTAGCAGAGACTCAAGATACCACTATTCGAGCTTAGTTAAAAAAAGCAATTTTGAATGGAAACAGAAAATTGGTGCTACATATTCTTTCTACCCCATTACCCGAAATGCAACACAAGGCTAAAGTAAATGACACAAACGAAAGGAACATTTAAATTTTATTTGAACGTTTATTTTTTGTAATTTAAATAATTGATTATTTCCACAGAATCCTAAAAGTCTGTGTCGCTGGTGAGGATCGAACTCTGCGCGATTAGTTTAGTTTCGTTTGTTTCACGACATATCAAACTTTTTCAGGTTATTTAAGGTGGGATTCTATCGTCCAATAGATAGCTTTTGTTTCCACAAGAGTCTAGAAGTTAGACATAGGTACAGTAAACGGGCGGCCCTTTTTTGTTGGGGGTACCACTCTTCATGGAGATCCAGTTGACGTATTCTTGATTTCAATCGAGAGAGCAGCTGCTTAGCCACGCAGTATGGCAGATACCCAATATAAGTATTTTTAACAATCTGTGAACATAGCTTGTTAGCTAATGCGTCATATTAGCCACTCAGTATCTACCATCCAAGTATATAATATAAAAGCACTGTTTCTGATTATCCAGGAGAAAGGGATCAAATATTCCTTTTGTTTATTTGTACGTGTTTATGCTCTCATATTTGAACGTGTTTATGCTCTCATATTTGTACGTGTTTATTCTCTCATATTTGAACGTGTTTATGCTCTTATATTTGAACGTGTTTATTCTCTCATATTTGAACGTGTTTATTCTCTCATATTTGTACGTGTTTATGCTCTTATATTTGAACGTGTTTATTCTCTCATATTTGTACGTGTTTATGCTCTTATATTTGAACGTGTTTATTCTTTCATATTTGAACGTGTTTATTCTCTCATATTTGTACGTGTTTATGCTCTTATATTTGAACGTGTTTATTCTTTCATATTTGAACGTGTTTATTCTCTCATATTTGTACGTGTTTATGCTCTTATATTTGTACGTGTTTATTCTCTCATATTTGAACGTGTTTATCCTCTCATATTTGAACGTGTTTATGCTCTTATATTTGAACGTGTTTATTCTCTCATATTTGATCCATGTTTTTCACGAACTTCAACTCAGTCAGAAGCTGGAAAAATTGGAAATAGAGAAATAGAAAACTTAATGTTACCCAAGTAAATCTGACCACCTATTTTCTGTCACCCACCTGTTTACTTCTGGACAAAATCTCGATTGAAATGCATTGGTTAAGAAAAAGAGAAAAATACCAAGAGGTCAGTAATCGTATAAAACAAATTTTAAACTATATAATAATGAAACTAGTATCAAAATAAAGGAAATTATAATTCTGTTTTTCAACATACTTTTCTTTTTTTCATTTCTTCAATAAAGAAAATTTTCTAATTTTCCTGTCATCTAATTACACACGGAAACGTCAACTTCGGCATCGGATAAAAATTGAGTTTTCAACGCCTTATAATTTTAGGAACAGTTAGAAATTTGATGGGGTACCATGCTGAGGGTGTAAACAACTGTGAATTATAGGCTTCCATTCGTTTGTGTCATTTATTGACTACAATACCTATTCGTGATTATTCACACCTTATTCTGTGGAGGTATTAGTTCGAAAGGTTTCATTGCTTTCGTGACTGAATTTCTTTTAGCGTGTAATCTGTTAATGCCAAAATTCGCTGCTTTATATGGAACTTGGACGTTAGAATAATGTCTGTTGAACACTATTAGTCAATGTTGTCAGAATAGTAAACTTTTAGTAAACACATTTGAACAGGGCTTTATATAGTCACGAAAACATTTCGCTATTAACAATGCCACACAGTAGAAAACCTAATTTATCAATCAACGCTTATAGTTTAAAGCTATGTAAATCTTGCACAATAAAATATAATTTTCAGTTCAACATATTATATACACAAATTAAAAATTTCTCAGTGCATCAGTTACCAAGTAAAAAAGAAAAATAAGCAAGCGCTTAAGTTTAAAAAATATTCGTTCAAATATATCGATTAGCTTATAATTTACAAGTTGAGAATTTTCTTCGGCTTTTAACTGTTATTTCAAGGTGTCAAGTCTGCCAAGTACTTGATGGTGTGAATGCAACGATAAAATTCTAACAAAGCAATCGTTTACACCTAAACAATTGACTTTCTTCTACTATCAAGATAGCAACAAAGCGTAAAGTTCCTTGAATGTCCCGATCGATCATGGTTCGATTTCAAGTAACGATAGAATTTGAATTTGTTAGTGAAGAAATTAAAAACTTGTGGACAATTTTATATAACCAATTTATAATTATCAATGTTAAAAAAATCAGTCAAAAATATTTTAAATCTGATTCGTATTTCCTTGAATATTTCAGAAGTCGAGATTTGTCCCTTGATTTCTGTTCAGGATTGGGTTTCTGGTCTTTTCTAAAGTCTTATTCTCTTTCCCTCCCAGTAACCCCCTGCATCATAGTGGCATCGTCGCTTTGTTTGGATGAATTGGTTAAAAAAATATAAGGCACATTTCTCCAATAAAACAGATTCTTTACAAATCACGCTACGTCGACGGTTAAACGAGCATAAAGTAACTTTTTTTGACACATTAATCGCCTTCAAACGCTATGTATAGCATGAAGAAGCGGGATTTTTAACATTATCAAAAGAAAAAGAAAATGATAGTGAAAGTCCTCTTAAGTAACCAGCTTTTTCATTAATCCATATAAAAGAGGATCGTTGATAAATTTAAAAGATTAAACAATGAATCAACATTCTCAATAGAATGAAGATAAAACGTCATATAAGGTAATCCTTATCTGTCGTTCCATTATATATAAAAAAACAAGAACAATAGATAGTCGATCAATTTAAGTAATACCAGTTAGTTGTAGCGGACAGAGAAAATCTTTTTGCTTACAAAGAGACGGTTGGCGCTTTGAACTAGGAAGAGATTCAAAGAACTTCAAATATAATGAAGAACATGTTCTACTTAGAATGTTGAAATGGTCATTTGAAAAGGCGCAAGCATAAAGAGGATTATCAAAAAGATGTTGACCAATCACTGAATCCGAAATGGTCTAGGTATGTATTAATGTTGTATTATGATGCAATTCATCATTCTTAATTTAAAATGAAAGATGCTACTTAATTCTAAATTATCATTATACTATCGGCTCTTCATGCTAAAGACGATTTTGTTCTTCATTTTTGAACTCCGATATACCAATGAAATATATATTATTAGAAATTATGGTTAAAAGATAAAATAATCTTTGTGTGGCTGTCTATCTATCTAACTATCTATCTATCTAAACGTTTTATTATTATGGCCGAATCATAAGTTGAATATTGGTTTGTTCAGTAAAACATATATTATAAGTGTGGGTTATAATGTGGGAAAGACAATATTTTTTAAGGATATATAGAATAATTGCTTTAAATTTTATTGTAAAATATTAAAAAAATCTTGTTCTCATTTAGAAAATAAGGAATATATTTGTTGGTCTATAATGCGTAAATTTATTTGTCCAATTTATCTTTATTATAGAAAAGGACAAGTAAAATGATTCTTGATAGTGCCAGAGATGGCGAGAAACCAACGTTGGAAATAGAGTTTTATAATATCCTTATTTCTGTATACAGAAAATGTATGGTTCTATGAAAATTCAATATGATTTCACATGTTGATACATCGGTACCCGTATAATCACCGAAGTTAAGCAACGTCGAACCTTGTCAGTACTTAGATGGGTGACCGCTTGGGAATACCAGGTTCTTTAAGCTTGGATGTGAGGGTGGTGTAATGGATAACGACTCGGAATTTTTCATCGGATAATCTACTTTCACTTACACGCAAAGGTGGGAAAAGTATGAAACCATATCTTCCCCCAGTTATGGGTTAATTAATAAGGCTTTTATCACTAAAACATTATTATCCTCCAAAAAGATTCTTGAAATCTAAATATATTTTCTGGCAAGTAGAGCAAGAAAATTAATTTGTTTCTTGGCTTTATTCTTGATTCCAGAAGCGTATTCGGCCATTGTACGCTCCAGACTTCTTCAGGTTATTTCGAACCAAACTCTTTATTTCGTCCATCGGGCTAGATTGTTCTAGTTCCACGTGCCATGCCTCTTCCGGATGTGTCAGTTATTTCCGTTTAACTGCTGTGGCCTGGTATTGAACTCACAGCTCTTTGAGTCTAAGTCACTGTATCTAACCAACGTCTTTATCAACTGCGCTTGGAGAGATATAGAAAGAAATTTCGAACTCCTTTTTAAAGTGCACTTTATACATGGAAAACACGGTATATGATAAAATTTATTAAATTATTTTCCCTAAATATGTAAACAAGAATCTGACTTATTTATTAAATAAGTAAATATCGTACAATATTTCTAAGTAAGCGTTGTTTTATTATTGGATGTGCGGGTGGTTTAATGAAGAGATGCTCGGAATGAGAAATTGAAGTGTCGAGTTCGAATTCCAGTCGAGTTCACCCCATTCCATTATGCTCAAATAGAATTGGGAAAGGCATGAATCCGTATTTTATCTCATCCAGGTATGGATTAAATGGCAGGTTAGACTGGGCTCTTTAGTCGTGTTTGGTAACCAGTTTAGGAGAAGGAAAACTGTAAATTCAAAATCAGTTGTGCATGGGGCTGGCAACCCGATCTCTTAGAAGCATTTTTATAGATGTATTTGTTAGGAAGGAAAGGATTTCATTTCTTTTTTGGGAATTACAGGTGACAATTAACAGATATTCTTTAATCTTGATAACCTTTGTTCTAAAAACTAATATTCAGTATTTAGCATTTGTTATCAGAAACAAAGATCACTGTTTCCGTGTGTATTTCTGGTAACTTCTTGCACAATTACCCCAACTTACTCTATGTAACCATCTCAAATTATTATATGCGAAGAAGTTACCTAGCCGAATGTTCATATCTACTTATATACAGGGCGCGATATATAAATTGTCGTCTATACTAAGCAAATATGAAAATAACATCTTATTTTAACAGATATATTTACCAAAATTGAACAAAAATATCTCGAAATACTAAAGAGTAAAATTATTCAATAAAATCACCATTGGCTTCAATTACGGCCTCCAGACGACATTGGAATCTCCTGAATCTCTCCTGGGCGGTCTCCTTGTTTAAATTGGTGAATGCTGTTATAATTCAGTTCATCTTTGGTATTACAAAGAGTTTTGTTGGTTTCTCATTTAACTGCGCCCCAAACATAATAATCAAAGGAATTGCAGTTTGGGGAGTCAAGTGGCCAGGTGGTTAATATTGAATATTGTGGTTTTGTTTGTTTTTTGAACTGGATTAATTTTCAAAACCAACAGACTTTAATGAATTCAGTGAGAGGATCACCGATCCTTTTGTCACGGCACCTGATAAAGAGTTTAAGTGTCTCTTCCATTTCCATCAAATAAGTCTGTCTCCCACACCGGTCCAGGTGATACAAGCTATAAGTTGGGAGGTGCGTGGCTGAAAAGCATATCTCTCTCTCTCTCTCTCTCTCTCTCTCTCTCTCTCTATATATATATATATATATATATATATATATATATGTGGATATGGTGCGATGGATAAATTGTCGTCTAAATTACGAAAAAATGAAAATAATACTGATATCTCGTTTTAACAGATATGTTTACCAAAATTACACAAAAATATTTTGAAATGCTAAAGTGTAAATTTATTCAATAAAATCGCCATTGGCTTCAAGCACGACTTCAAGACGACTTAAGATGATGAATGATGCCATAATCTTTGCCTTCAGTTCATCTTTAATGTTGGTCTCTCGTTCAACTGCATAATAATCAAGAGGTTATAGTCTAGGAAGTTAAATGACCACATGTCGGGTAATGTGGTCGCAGAACTTGTTTGACAACTATGATTATGTTCTTCTGCTTTTGTGGCATGGTGTAGAGTCCTGTGACAAGACATAGGATATTCCAGCAGTCACCTTCTGAATTCAGGACAGCTCTATTACCTCAAGGCACTTGATGTAGGCCTCCGTGTTGAGTCTGAGGCCCTGTGGGAAGATGAGTGGAGGCATAACGTCGCCGTCACTAGTGATCCCTCCAAACACAATGATGTCTTTACTGGAAATATCCAAGTCTTTCCGAATCCTCTGAAATGTTCGTATTGGAATTTCCGGCACGAATGCCAAGCAGTACAGCGAGCTGTTTCCAAATTTCTGGCGGAGTGAATTTCTGCCATGGTACTCTTTTTCTCACAGACGGTTCCCAAATGACCCTAATATACTGTAGAGTCGACAAAATTAAAGACCACCAACCGACATGCGCGAAATTAAAAATATAAAATGGCGACAATTTACCCACGCACGCCTAAACAGAATACAAAATATCTACGGATTTAACTCCACTTTTTATAGAATTTTGAATACCCATTTTTAAGATAGACATGGACTCTTCAATTAGAAGATTAGTACAGCAGTTATTGTGATCGTGGACTTGTAAAATCTTAAAAGTCTATCGGTGTAATAAAATCAATGTAGTGTGACTACATTTCGAGTAATAATAAAAAAAGGACCAGCAATGTTATTGCGCATGAAGAAAGATTTTGTAAAAGTTTTGTACTCATCAAGTAATAAATTATTATTGAATGAAGCATTGAATGAAAAAAAAAAATAAATAGAAAAAGCCTGTTTCAACCCAGCAGCGCTGTATTAATATATGGCACTTATGATGAACGATTGCCAAGGATCTTTATATTGAACACATTTCAAATTGCTTTTACATTAACGGTATGCAATAAAAACATTCTGAAATAGAATAGGTATCAAATCATTATGCGTAAAAGCTACCGAAATAAACCATTTCATGATTACACAATAAAATACCCATAAAAGAAACACAATAACAACAAGTTCATCAAATTTCTATGGTGTTGTCTGCAAGGCAATGTGATCTATATCAGTTCCCATCTGTATACGTCATCTATAAGCAAGCGACACCTCACAAAGCTTAGCAAGGGAAATAACTTTTCATCCCATTATTGTTATAACAGCAATGAATGAAAAACGATGCAAATTAAACTAGTAATGTTAATAGTTATTATATAGGGATTATTGCTCAGTTAAATAATATAATTTGGGATTAATATACAAAAGAGGAAACTATACCTGTCCTGCCGATTAGATCTTGCATAGAATCAAATATGTTTGTTCACTGACCTTATCTTATCGATGAAAATATATTTCTTCATTAGTGCAGGGAATCGTGAATTTTATAAATAAAAATTAGTTCAGTCTACAAAAACTAAGCTGCAATGTCTTAGGTTAAAATCTCAGTTTAACGTATTTGGCTCATATAGCCGATTAAAAAAACTATTGCTTCTCTCCTTCAGTTGTTTCTCTGTTTCAGTACACAAGATCAGGCACTGATCTATAATCCTTCTAATCCAGATTCATGGACTTAAATTTTTAAAAGCATCGTTTTCTTCCAACATTTTAGTTGGAAAAATACTATTACATTGGTGAAAAAGTACATTTTTATGTTGTTAGGGAAATCTTAGAAGTGCTTTTGAAGTTTATTTAGTTTTTTTTGTTTGTGCAAATAGTAAACAAGCGTTGGAATAACTTAGAAGTTAGAAGAATTGGCTACACCTGAACTTATAGGAAGGAACATTGGTAAACGTGTAAACGTTTGTTATTCACTTCGTGTTTCATTTTTGAAGAAAATAGTCAAACACATCAAAAAGTAGTTTTATTGCAAGAACCTAAAACTGAGACCCGGAACAGTATTCAGGAAATCTAGTAAGTAAACAGTGCATGTGTTTAACTGCGAATTTCAGGAAGCTGAATAAGGTTTGAATGCGCATTGTTACAATGAACAATTGGCAAGTTTGAATGGCGTATTAGAAAAACTCGGTTTTTTTCTGGGCAAAGAAGGGGGCTGAGGGCTTTGCTCCTTGACTACGTCCGATATCCACTTTAAAATGGCACACAATAATCACTCATAGTGCTGGCATGTATTATGGAAATTTATTCCACATCTGACGTATTCTCCATTGCCTTCAGATTATCACTAATGTTATTTAATGCAACAGATCTACTCAGCGTTTCCTATAAAGTCAGAAAGATCAAATCATTCGATGGATTGAAAACAGAATCGTTCATTTATGATGGAAGAATATTTTTTTCTGAAAAGTCATAGAAAGTTAAAATACTTTGATGACTGAGTATTTATGCTACAAATTTATATATAATATTATATGAATAAAAATGTCAAGAATGCTGGAAATGTTTGCCTTGGATTTTGCCCAATGTCAAAGTATTAGAGAAATGTTTCAAGTATAAATTGTTTTTATGGTTTTTATTAGGATTTAAGAACCAAATGTGTTAATAAATCTTTCATACACTCATTTTGTTTGTACACAATGGAGGAAACTATGACAATCAATGGTGCCTATTATAATTGCTGGAATGCTGTAGTATCTTTTGAAGATACGATTGAAAAAGTGAAAAAAAAAGCAGTTAAATAATTTCACCTTCATTTTTATTCAATAAAGCATAGCCAACCATTATTATTGATTTTGACGAGTATTTAATTTCATCTTCATTTTTAGTAGATTTATTTTTATCCGAACTTGATTCAGGTCGTTGATCTACGGCAGTCAGTAAACAGTCTTTTTAAAAACTGTCAAGTTCTCTTAACTGGTTTGTTAACTAGGTTACCTTGAAGTAAAAAGGATCCGTGTATTCAACGTTATCCGTGAGCTTTTAGTCATTATT